TACCTTGAAAAGTTCACCTTTGGCTTAGGAAAGTGGGTCCTCTCATATCGATTTGTGTCGAGCAACTTAGATCAACACGAATCGATTTTGAGGCAGTACGCATCGAGCTATGTGTCCTTAAAAGGTTCAATTGGAACAAGAAAACTTGACTTAATGATTCTTGCTACTCTTCGGGACAAAGTGGTAGAAGGAATGAAATTTTCGAATGCAGATAAAAATCCTTACTTAAGCTTTCTTAACTACGAGAAGCCATATGAGATGAAAAGACAACTAATCTATCAATTTTTACAAACATTTTAACCCAACACGATCATAATTTTTAGATGTGCCAAGCTAGTTCCAACTGGTTGATATGTCCCCAAATAAAATGTATTGGACTTTCATGTTTATTGTAAATATTCTTTAATAATAAACAGGTCTATCATTGTAAAATAAACTTCCTAAACGAAATTAACTCAATTCACATGCATATAAAATTTGTTATTTAGTATCCAGAATATTTATATATTTTGAATTGTATATCATAGTAATACTTGTAAACATCAATTTTAACCCTGATTAAAAGTGGTGGAGAGGTCCAGTGTTTCACAGGTTTACGCAAGGGTGATTTGTGCACAAAAAAGAGACATTCTGATTGATGAAAAATTGATGTTTGTTGGTATTATATAGGCCCCAAAACACAAAGTAATGCAGAACATAGAAAATGAACACAAATGATTTTTCGCCCTAAGGCCCGGATGTTCTTTCAAATTATGGCTAATCACCCGTTGAGTATTCACCGAAGTGATTAACGCTCTAATCCACTAGAATTCAACAATATTATCAAGATCAATATTACAGTACAACAGATCCACAAATGATCAGCCCTCAGACCCAAGAATCTCTCACATAAACTCTCAGAAATACAATTACACAAAGTAACCAAATGTTACTACCCACATAAGAACGTAAACACATAATTAAGTCTTAATCAAACACTAGATCTCACCAAAAATCATCAAGGACACAAGATTACAAGCGAAAACCAAAGGTTTTCAAAGAGAGAACAGAGAGAGCCAAAAGTAGAGAGAACCCTAGAATAATCTCGAAGAAGTGAGTCGAATGAGAGAGTCAGATCAAAATATCAACAGACAAAAGCATCCAACGGACACGGCTCATCCACGTGTTACAATCTCAGCCTTTGAGATAAGGACATCTCACAGAAATAAGGGTTGCATCACAAGGCCTAAATAAGGTAAAGGAATTGGGATGTCACAATTGGGCCAAATTGTTAAGCACCAAACTTAACAATCTCCACCTTTTTTGACAATTTGGGTTTCATAGTGAATTGAAGGTTAACTCCTACTTTAGCTTCATTTGCTCTTCGTACCTGCAAAAACATTAGTTAGTAATAACATTGAGGAGATTTAAATAATTCCTAAATTTGTATAAATGAAGAATTTTTGTACCCATGTTTGCAGGATTACACTTAGTAGATATTTTATCAATTTTCATGATTTCTTTTTCTAAGATATCTCTTATAAAATGAAATTTAACATTAATATGTTTAGATCTATCATGAAACACGTGATTTCTACTTAAGTGTATTGTAGACTGACTATCAAAAAATATTACAACACTATTTTTCAGAAAAACCAATTTCATTTAGCAAATTTTTCAGCCTATGCCTTCATTTACAGCATTAGTGGCTGCAATATATTCAGCCTTTGTAGAGGATAAAGTTACAATCTTTTGTAGTTGTGATTTCCCGCTGATGCGGAACCATTTAAAGTAAAGACATGTAGAAATTGATTTTCTATTATCACAGTTATCAGCAAAATCAGAATCAACAGAGCCTTTAAGTTTAATCCCAGTTTACTTTTACTAAACATAAACCCTAAATCAGAAGTGCATTTTAAGTATCTAAATAACCATTTCATGGATTTCCAATGATATTCACCTGGATGGCTCATATATCTACTCAATACACTTATAGCAAAGGCAAGATCGGGTTTGGTGCATATCATAACATACGTAATAGACCCTACAGCAGTGCATATGGAATCTTTTCCATTCTAGTCTTTTCTAATTCAATTCTAGAGCATTGTTCTCATGAAAATTTAAAGTGACTACCAAGAGGTAATGTAACCTCCTTGGCAGCATCTATAGAAAATCTGCATAAAATTTTTGAAATATAAGACTATTGAGTGAGAAACAATTTATGATTACTCATATTTCTTCTAATTTCCATCCCTAAAATCTTTTTAGCCTCTCCTAAATCTTTCATTTCAAACTTCTGCTTCAATTTTTGCTTAATCATGTTAATTTCAGTTATATTACACATAGCAAGTAACATATCATCAACATAGAGCAAAAGATAACAAGAATCTGGGCCTCCACTGCCCTTATAATAAAAACATGGATCATATTCACTTCTATTAAAATCAAGTCCCTTTATAAAAGTATTAAACCTGATATACCATTGCTTTGGGCTTGTTTCAAACCATAGAGTGATTTTTATAAAATATATACAAGGTTTTCTTTACCTTTTTGTTCAAAACCTTTTGGTTGAGACATGTAGATTTTTTCATCCAATTTTTCATGTAGAAAAACAGTTTTGACATCCAATTGTTCTAATTTAAAATCAAATTGAGATACAATAGAAAGCAAAACTCCTATAGAGGTGTATTTTGACTACGGGTGGGCAAAACCCGACCGAACCCGTCCAGACCGAACCAGTCCGACTGGGTTGGGTTGGTTTTTTTATTGTTTTTACACGGGTTAGATGGGTTGATTGTGTAGTCAGGTTATGGGTTGATTCAAGAAAATCGAATAAACCCGCACTACCCAACCCGCCACTTTAAAAAAAAAGAAATAAAATAAAATAAATAAAATGCTTAGAAAAGTAAAAGAAATCTAAAAAGTATGAGTATATAGTGTAACTGTAATTACCTTGATGTATTTTAGAGGGAGCGCTTACTGTTCTTCCCACAAGAAATGTAGTATAAGTTTTTCATATTACTAGTGGAGGATCGTGCATTGCACGATTACTGTTATAATTTGGGTAGATTTTGTCGTAGATTATGTAAGATTTAGTTGTCTAGTGTCAATAATGTTACTCCTAAAGCAGATATCAATTAGCTAAATGAAAATGAAGTGGACACGCACATCACTTTCCAGTTGTCCAGGTCAGGTAAATAGTTGGGGCCAATCATAGCTACACCAGGCAAACAAATAAACATTCAAGAGTAGAACTTCAAAATATTAAAATTTCACATTCTATCAAGCAGAAAATCACATAAACACTCAAAAGCTAAAAGAGGCAATATCAGAGACACAAGGAACATGACCTTGCAAATCAAATGGGTCTGAATAATTTTGGTACCATATATATTATCAATATTCTGCAATAATTATGTTAAAGTAAAATAAAAGCACAAAACTGTATAAGATGGTTCAGTTCATATCATAAAATTAGCTTAATAGGGACACAATAAGTTCCGATCAAATCATAAAAATCTTAAAATATTTATGAGCTTATCAATGAAAAAAATAAGAAACAACCATTGCAAAGCAATTAAAAAAATCTACGACAAACTGCATTATGCAAAATATCAGAAGCTCAACAATCTCAATTAATCAATTTCATACATCATAAAGATACTGTGAACCAGAAGAAAGCATAAACAATTCCCACTTTACCTATGTCTGAGTCAGCCTAGGATTAAAAGTTGGAAGGAGAGAGGTCGCTGGAGAAATAGCTCTAAAGCTACAATGTGCAGGAGGAGACGCTATAACAGGTGCAATAGCAGCAGCAGCAAGAGGGTTGATTACTCAAAAAAAAAAACTTTAAAAGTTCAACATTTGAAACATTAGTTCAACTGAAAAATGTCAAGACATGGTGAACACTCAATTACCATTTGTATCAGGATGATTGCAACGGCATGTGGTACCATACTTGCAGCTGATTAATTAAAAAAGACACTTCAAAGCTATCAGATATTTTCACTATTTTTCTTTTCAAGGATAAGTGTTCCAATTGTTACACAGAGTACTGACCTGCCAGTTTTTAGGTAAAATGGGTAATCAACTTCACCCTGCAAGCAGATGAGTGAAGAGTACATTTAAAGGAAAAATCTTATGAACCAAAAAGAAGGTATGAATTTTGACCTATTGTGTAACATATATAGTTCAGGAGAGAGGGAATAAATTTATTGATTACAATTCTGAAATATAAGTTGTTGGGAGGAAAATGCACAAAAATTTGTAACAAAACATTCTATTCAATTTAAAAGAATTGTTATTAATATAATTGTAATTGACAATAAGAAATGGAAGAGCGTCAAATAAAAACAATGTATTCAAAGAACTTACCACAGCTCGAATTCCCAAGATTGCTTGATATTTCTAATCTTCTCAACTCCAGGAAAAAATCGAAACCATAAGCAACTATGATAACGCTATCTTCATGTTTACCTATTCCAGACACCTGATTTAAACTACTAACAAAACACAATGTTGGGATTCAAGATAAGTTCACAAATTGATGATTGATGAACATTGGGAATAACGAAATCACCTGCTGTTGAAGAGTAAGGTCACCATAAGATAAATCTCGGCACAAATTCACAAATCCATAAGATACATATTTCATATCACCAAAATAAAAGGGTAGCTCAAGCAACAGATATAAGAACCAGGAAGTCAAACCCGATTATCCTTTCTACCTAGATTACAATTTAGCATCTAATACAACAATACAAATTGCTAATGCACGAACCGTAGATCTGGGAACAACTAAGTATGATTATTGAAATCAATGGCAACCAAAACTTGAAACTAAAGAAATAAAAGAAACAGTAGAAGCATCTAGAGCCATTATCAGGAAAA